TAAATCATGTAATCTGAGTTTGTTTGCTATAAAACAATATTTTCAAAACATTTATCTTATAGTAGCCTCCGAGTCTCTGCAAGATCGGATAAACGTTTGACCAAAACAAAGAAAAGTATTTCATTTATGTCTGTCGAAATATTAGAACAGAGTATCACAGCGATTGAACGAAACTGACCAAACATCACAATAAATCCTTCTCTTATTCGACTATATGACAAAGCTACATTAATGTTCCTATCTTGATGACATTTATAAATCATGGAGATAAATAACTAACATTTACCATAACTAAACACAATTATAACATTTTCTATAAATCTCATGAGGATTTTAATAAATTCTAAGTCATTTACAGACTAACAACATGAAAAAACAAACATGTTTGACAGCACATATTTTGTATACATTGTCAGTCAACTGCGAATTTCATAACATTTATGTAAAAATGACATTTCAGACCTATCTACTGTTTACAAGTCGCTTCCGTATAAGAAGCAATCAGCTAGGCTGGGCCTATAGCTTGTTTGTTTGAAGTTAAGCATAAAGCTACACAATGGGCTACCTGTGCTCTGCCCACCATGGGTATCGAAACCCGGTTTCTAGCGTCCGCAGGGATATAGCTGTGCCACTAGGGGGTGGAACTATAGCAACTGAAAGTTTATATAAAATATTCTATGCAGTGCAATGAAACTTTGGTACTGTCTCATAAAACGTCTAAGATAGCAAAGTGAACATGCTCTTTATATGTGAATATGTTCTTTATATAAATCAGATATACCATTTTTCACTCTTTTGTTTTTAAATGTATTATGGACTAACCGAGCCGAATGTAATAAAAAATAGTTTGTTAGACCTGAAAGGCTTCTTTCTTTGACAGCTTAGGCTTTACACCACACTTTTAATACTTGTTGGGAAGAGTAACACCATACACACTAGCTTAGCATTTAAAGGGATCAGTATTGAAATTTATAAATGGGAGTTCATCTAGTTTTTAAACAGATGTTTCTAAACTATTTAAGCACTAAAGTGCTCGTGGGCCCGTGTCTTTGTTAGCTACAGAGACGTTAATATCATACGAGTCACATGAAAAAAAAATAAAACAAATAAATAAATAATACAATCAATAAAGTTAAATCCTTGTCATAACTTAGGTTCAGTGTTATTGAGTTCCAGTTTCATGTGGAACAAGGAGTGAGACTGGTGACCTATTCACCCTGGGCGTAATACCAGTCTCTAGTAGGTTAACACCCAGCTAAAAGATGGTACACATCATATAGCTGAATAGGCTATAACAAGTGGGGTAAAATGACTTTATGATGGGGTCTGGCCTCGATCTCGTAACTATTCAACTAGCAGTCCGAAGCGCGAAACAACTAAGCCACGCTTGTCCATACTAAACCATCAATAACACACTCACTAATTACTGCTTGCGTTTTCTATCCAATTTTACATAGAAAATAACTTCAACACATTTTTGTCGGCTTTTGCATTGAGTTTTGTAAGTCACGTGTTAGAAAAGGTTTAACTTCAAAACTGTCCTATTGATCATTGTTACTTCGTGCAAAAATATCCTCTTTGGCGTTTATGGAAATAAGTCCAAAGCCAAGGCAAAAAAAATCTAAGTCTATAGTTGTGTATGAATTAATTTAACAACGTATGCATTAAGAAAAAAATCAAAGACAAGTGAGTACTTGTGTATATATATATATATATATATATATATATATTTCTACCTTCCCCGTAAATAGGAATAGAAATTAGTTTTTCTATAATAATTAGTATGATAATCTAATAGAAAATAAACAGTATTTCTGCGGTACAGATTGTGCCCAGAAAAAATACTTTCAAAGTGAACTGTTAAGGTAGAATAAAACGAATTTGTTTGTTTTCTAATCAGAAAATAAAACGAGTAACTCATGAAACTAAAGTTTTCTGTTGTCTGTGTTCCTTTTATTTTCACTTCTATTTGTTGTCTTGGCATTTTTTTAACTCTGTTTTCATTCTAATAAACGTGTCACCCAAAAGATGTAACACTTAAAGTTTTTGGAAATAATCGATATAAGTTCTGGACAAATATGAGGTCTAGTTCACAATGCATAAGTTAGATGAACTAAATGTAATATTTCCGAAAAGTATTGAGGGGATATGTAGGAAACAAATGTGCACTCTAAAATGTTGGAAATGTCTAATAGACCCAAAGAAAATATTCACACAAGAAAATACTACAAGACTGTTTCATCCTGGATACTCATTTCAAATGTAGCTATGTTGGCTTGCTCACCAATGTTACACAGATGTTGTAAATTGGTGTATGAGCGTATTCATTCTGAAATAGAAATCCATATTCTGTGTGAATTAATATTATGAAATGAACAATTTTACTATTATATTTTGTTTTAAAAAATTGTGATTTTTTCAGTTTTTATTTCACACACAAAAAGAACGCAATAGTTTCAAAATTTTGTTTTACAGTGAAACTTGTTCACTGTAAAACGTGCAAGATATCTTCCCCCCTTTTAAATCTAAGTGTCGGTGGAATATATCTGTATTTACTGATTTTTTTTATATAATAGCCTTAGTAAATCAATCTATATAAAGTTCTTAGTTGTTTAAGATAAATTTAAAATGTTTTTGGTAGCAAGCTTTAAATATCCGGATCGAATATAAGCTCCAAACATCTGGATCGAATGTAAGCTCCAAACATCTGGATCAAAAGTAAGCTTTAAATATCCGGATCGAATGTAAGCTCCAAACATCTGGATCAAAAGTAAGCTTCAAACATCTGGATCAAAAGTAAGCTTCAAACATCTGGATCAAAAGTAAGCTTTAAATATCCGGATCGAATGTAAGCTTTAAATATCCGGATCGAATGTAAGCTTTAAATATCCGGATCGAATGTAAGCTCCAAACATCTGGATCAAAAGTAAGCTTCAAACATCTGGATCAAAAGTAAGCTCCAAACATCTGGATCAAAAGTAAGCTTTAAATATCCGGATCGAATGTAAGCTCCAAACATCTGGATCGAATGTAAGCTCCAAACATCTGGATCAAAAGTAAGCTTCAAACATCTGGATCAAAAGTGAGCTTCAAACATCTGGATCAAATTAAGCTTTAAACTTGTGGATCAAAAGTCTTGTATGTAGAATATGGTTGTGAGAGATCATTAGCAGGTGCTCGATTACCAACTGTTTACGTAAGAGGGGAAATGGCTTATGAATTGTTTTAGTTGCTATGAAAATTATTTTGACAATATGAATGTAAATGTAAAATCATCCATTCATAAATTTTTTTTAACATAAATTAACTCTTATAATGCTTTTAATGTTATTATTTTTAAGATTACTTTTTTAAGCTGTCGAATCATTAGGGACCTTTCGAGGGAGAGTAATAATAAAAGGTGCAACAAAATCAACATATCTGCTATCTGAGCTCAATCAGTATTGAAAATGTTAGTTCACACTGAACTTTTACAGCCTGGTGATAAAAAAGTGCTGCGCCGGCAGAAGAAGTAAGAATGAAATGTCTCTTCTATTCACACAGTGATATATTATCCTCACCATCCACATGAATCCGTTTCTTATTTGGTTGGAATTTTTTTCTTATTATTACGTTGCCCGACAGAAGAGGTATGTTTTTGAAACGAAACTGCGTTATGTGATTCAGTTTAAAAAGGAGGAAATTGTAGAACTATTCGTTATTTTCTTTTAAATGGGTAGGTATTTTTCTAATCTCTTAAACCTGGAACTTTGTTCCCCATTCTCCATCTAATTGTGTAGAGGTATGTTATTTAGAATTATCAGATTTTTATTATTAATTTATTTTCTCTTACGTATTCTTAAAGAAAGCAGACATTTTGGTAAATGTAAATTTTAAATCATGCGTACAGTTATGATCAAATGTCTTGTTCTTTTTATTATTATTCAATAGAATATTCTTTAAGGAAATGTCTAACATGTAATTCGTATTGGATGTGTTCATATCTGAAATCTGACTTCAAAATGTACTCGTTCTGGGTGGTCTCAGTGGATTTTCTCACATCACATCTCACCAGGAAATGTTTGTATTACATGTAATTCGTATTAGATGTGTTCATATCTGAAATCTGACTTCAAAATGTACTCGTTCTGGGTGGTCTCAGTGGATTTTCCCACATCACATCTCACCAGGAAATGTTTGTATTACATGTAATTCGTATTAGATGTGTTCATATCTGAAATCTGACTTCAAAATGTACTCGTTTTGGGTGGTCTCAGTGGATTTTCTCACATCACACCTGACCAGAGAAGAGAAGGTTTACCTTCCGAAACTGTTTGATTACTTGCTTTTATTTTTTAAATGTGACTTATTCGAAAGTGAACAGTTAAGTTTCAAAGGAAACCTATACTATATATTACATTCAAGCACTTGGATCAGAATCGTTGCATTACTAAACTAAAACTTATGTTGTATTTATACTGTATTAGCATTTTCACGTTATTTCCACTGCTTATATATCTACTTCAAATGTTCATGAACGTTAGCTGTGAATGTTTCTTCTTACTTAAATATACTACTTGAAACATCCATCTTATTAAAAATAGATTGGCTATGAAAATTACTTATCAACCTGGTTCTCCTTAAAATAGTGAACATGCCTCGCTATGAAAACTCTACTTACATAAATCTGGTTCCTCTTGAAACAGTGAACATGCCTCGCTATGAAAACTCTACTTACATAAATCTGGTTCCTCTTGAAACAGTGAACATGCCTCACTATGAAAACTCTACTTACATAAATCTGGTTCCTCTTGAAACAGTGAACATGCCTCGCCATGAAACTCTACTTACATAAATCTATTTATCTTGAAACAGTGAATAAGTTTGACCATGAAAACTCTACTTACATAAATCTGTTTATCTTGAAACAGTGAGCAAGCCTGGCCATGAAAACTCTACTTACATAAATCTGATTCCTCTTGAAAACAGTGAACAAGGTTGGCCATGAAAGTTCTACTTACGTAAATCTGGTCCCTTTTAAAACGTTGATGAAGGTTTGCTATAAAAGCTTCTTCTGTGAGTGGGTCTAAAAGAACTGCATCACTCACACCAACTTCTTGGTCCAGGCTGAGAACGCCTCGCGTGCTCATGGTGGCCGCAAGAGGGCTCTGAAAAATATAAACAGTATCTCTATCAAACATTTACTGATATATTTTATTTTACTTCTTAAATGATAATTACTTCATTTCAGAGATCAGAACAATATTTGGTCCTTTCTCAAAACTGGTGATTTTTTAGCTGACGAACTTATTTTGAGTTTTTGTCAAATCTCTTCTTTCTTACATTTTTCAAACTTTTGATTATTATTACTGGAACGGTTATACTAACGATTACAAGAAAAAACGAGAATTACTATAAATATTTTCATCAATATTACTTTTCCTCTGCGGTGAACAGTCACGATAGTTCACATAATAATATTTCTAGATACCAAAATGTCATGCATTATAAGCCGTGATTAACAATTAACTGTAACATCTAGAAAGTGGAAAATCGGTTTTTAAAGTGAGTTGTCTCATAACGTTCATAATGTCACTTAATTGGGTTTAGTCTGTTGAAAATTTGGTTACAAAAATATATTTTACTTAATAATTACCACTTTCGAATTAAACACACAAAAACAATTTCTAGTTCGATCTCTGTCATTCATAATATGATTATACTTCGTTGCTCGTCTTATTAATTATGAGCAGTAATTGATTATAGCCCATATTTGAAGTCGACATAATACTTAGTGCAGGTCATATTTCTGACCTTTATTAATTTTATTCTACAAATTCACAAATATATATTACAAAGTTACGAGACTAACGAGAATACAAAGATGAAGGATATACTATTATGATTGGCTACAAAGATGAAGGATATACTATTATGATTGGCTACAAAGATGAAGGATATACTATTATGATTGGCTACAAAGATGAAGGATATACTATTATGATTGGCTACAAAGATGAAGGATATACTATTATGACTGGCTACAAAGATGAAGGATATACTATTATGATTGGCTACAAAGATGAAGGATATACTATTGTGATTGGCTACAAAGATGAAGGATATACTATTATGATTGGCTACAAAGATGAAGGATATACTATTGTGATTGGCTACAAAGATGAAGGATATACTATTATGGTTGGCTACAAAGCTAACGAAAAATATTTTGTTTCTAAGATAAAAGATGTTTCGTTCTTGATCAGAGTAAACAAATCTTACAATTACAATCCAATAATAAAAATAATAATAAACAAACTGAATATATGTTTAGCCTACAGAATTGGTCATCGGTGAAAATGTTGAGAACTTGTCAATATTTTATTCCAACTTTTCCTATACTCTGTATTCACGTAGATATAGCATTCAGAGGGTCTTTACTTATACCTCTTATATATATATATATATATGTGTGTGTGTGTATACACATATACAATAGTAGCAATAATTACAAAATAAGAACTTAACATCACCATGTGTGTAAGTTAGCGAAATTTGTCAGCAGTCACGAAATAATGAAGAGAAAATATAATCAAACCTAATACAAAGGACAAGACATGCAGAAAAAAATAATATCCAAAAAATTTTAAACACGATTCATGATTATAGAAGTTTTGACACTTTTTTTGTCAGCATGTCTTGTCTTTGCACGTTTTTGGAAAGCATTTTAATATATATATATAGATACATGCATGTATTTATTATCATTGCAAAATTCCATTCAAGAGTTGTTGGCAGGAAAGAAAATAACGTAGTCTCAAAAACCTCACATCCTCGTTTGTTTGTTTTTTTAACCAGACTATTTTTTTCTCTTAAGTGTTTTTTCATAATTTTTTTTTCTTTACCATCCACGAACCTGATGTTTTGGAGACAGTGATAGAGCCACATTCCTGACTGTAATATTTTGAACATTATAAGGTTGAATATATCCCCGAAATGCATAAACATTTTAGCTATAAGCACGTGAGCAGTAAGTCGAGACTTCTAATTAATTTATATTATATTATTCTTGGCTGGTGAAATCTCATTAATACTATCTAAAATAAATTATAAACTTCTGAGGTTGAATTAAAAAAGAGAGAAATAGAAATATTAACCAATTTGACTTGTTTATAGTTGTAATTATTTTTAGATTTTTCCATATAATATATTTTCGATTTTTTTTACTTTTTTCGTAAACATACGTAGGAAAATAAAGCCAACGTCATTATTTGATAAATTTCAAGTATGTAAGATATTTCTGTGCATTACTATAATTGCATGTGTAATATAGAAGGTTGGTTAATGATACTCAAGTATTTTTTTATGTGATTACTATATGAAATGCTTTCAGAAGTTTGAATGCACATGAAACTTCAAACTAAACTACTGTTAATACTTTACTGCCCGGCTTCAGAAGAGAAGAAAGATTTCTTAAGACATTCAGGATGTAATCTTTAATTTCAAGGGGGGTGTTATACAAGAGGTGGAAGATAAGATCCCCACCGTGACGACATTAGTGATGTCATGCTAGCCAGTTACACAAACACATCTGATAAACAGTGTCTGAGCTCTATTAGCAGAAACTCAGTAAATATCACGATACAGTGAAACCAAGATAAAAAAAACGATTTTGTGTTTGTAACTGAACTGATTAGTGCTACGATGATCTAAAAATCTAGCTTCCTGTTTATGAATTATTTCAAATTCTTTACTACTTGATAAGCACTTGAATATATATATATATATATTTATACAAACACATTACAGTAGTCATAAAGCAACGTCACAGAATACAAGTGACATTACAGAAATATCAGTTATGTCACCTGATCTTCATTAAATTCCAATATCTGAATAGTTTACAATGATTAAAGATTTTTGTAAGTATTGCCTTTACGTTATTAACATTGCATTTGTCTGATGGGACGAACTTATTTAAAAAAATATGAGTTTTCAAAATCCACCTCAATTCATTAAATAAGGAAATGCGTATTAAATCTATCAGAAAATGAAATTAACCTTCCATCTCGAATACGCAGGATCGTAAAATTCAAGCGTAATTGATACACAAAGGAAATTTTTTTTGCGAATATTCCACATGACATTCCTTCCCTCATAGTCTCATCATCATTGAACTACGTAGATAACTAATTGATAAATTTATGAAAACTTTATCACAACATTTTTTATAAACTTGTTATTGAAAAATATCTTTATCAGAGATTTAAATATTGTTTTAAAATACAAGTTAAATAAAATAAAAAATACATATGAATATCGTTGCTCTAGCTTCGTTTTGATTTCTATTCCAAACGTTTGATTCATTAAAAATGCCGAAAGAACATATTAAATAGTATATCTAAAAATTTTTAGTCGGAAAGATTCAATAGAAATTTAATAACATTAGACCTAAACGCAGGGAAGTAGGTGTCTTTCTTCACAATAATCTTAATTATTTGTCCGATGTGATTAGCATGTTTGGCTGAGTATCAGAAGGTCCAAGATTTGAGACTGGAATATGCTGTTAATCATGATTCGCATTTTTAGTGGGCAAATTATTAAAGTGACTGTCAATCATGGTATTCGGTTAAAAGTAGCTGTTTAGGCTGTGAGTGTTGTTGATTGGTTGATTACTTCTTTTCTGGTCAACAGCTCAAAATTATGGAACAACGTTGGTTTGTACTTTGACTGGTCGTTTAAAC